ATGGCCTGAGAGGAACAGTGAGGCTCCTTCAGTGGACCATGCCTTGGCACTTGCCCTGCCAGAGACCCTCTTCCCCTTCTGCCAGAGACCCTCAGATCTGTCCCACTCCTGCCCAGGTCCCCACAGGTACCCTTGACGCGAACGATGTAGAGCTGGCCACACCCACTCCATCTACGCCCACCCAGTAGGCTGCACCTACGCTGGCCACACCCACCCAGCCCCCTGAGAGCAACCGCAATGCTGATGCGGCCCTCAATGAAATTGAGTTTGACACCCCTGCTCTATAGTGTGAAACAGAAAGTGAAGATTCCTAACTTCAGTATTCTTTCGAGGGGGGGAGGCAATCTTGTTATTTCAGTGCAGTTGTTTTAGAGACACTTAAGGGTATCTGTAAAGACACTCAAGACACTCACTTAAGAATAAGTGCTAGAGGTATGTCATGCAGTGGCATATATTTTAATTTGATGTTGCCTTTCTCCGGGTAACTCATAAGCACACACACAACACAATAAATAAAAATACAATAAGGAAAATAAACAAAATGGCAAATCCAAATGCACCCTACCACAAGGCTTGGGAGAACAATGCTTGTATTTCTCCTCTTCATCAATGAATGAGCCCCTACCATTTGCCATGTTTAATTATTCAGCTATCTTTCTGCTAACCTTTATTGATTGCTGATAAATGGCCATTATTCCTGATGTAATAAAATCAATGTTATCAATGCTAGTACATCAATATTTTGTCTTTAAACTGGGGTGACACTTTAATCAGTTCATCATAATATACTAGGACTTGTTCATTTTCTAATATGTGTATTATGTGAGCAGTTTATATTAAGGTAGAAATATATTTTATTAATATTCCATAAAAAGGAGTTTAACAAGGCTAAGCAGAATTATTTACTGAAAAAAAGGATTAATTGGATATGTTCTTTATTACTCAATGTTTTTTGTTCTTTTAATCAAGTTGTTTTTATATTTTAATTATATTGCTTTTTTCTGCAAGGGTCTCACTGATTTAGGATGTTTCAATATAAATGTCATCTTTGATGCAAATCATATTTTTTTCCTCAATCCTCCATCTGGGAATAATAATTTCCTGGCTTATGGAGATTAATCACAATATAAAGATTATGAAATTAGCTTAAGGTTATGGCTAAATTCCAAGCTGGTATACTTTCATAGTTTTGAAGAAATGGGAAATAAAAACTAGATTTCCTAGTTTGATATGGTAAAATAACAAAAGAGACTGTACACAATGTTATCTAAATGTGTCACCCACAGAAAATTTTAGCATAGGATGTTCCTATTATGTCTTTTCACTGCCAGGTCAGGTAAAATAATCAGTGCAAAGAGTGCAGTTTGCCGACTATTTATATAAATTAGCTTGCCCTGCCAGTCTTGGTGGAATTGTGGCTTCCATTTTTTTTGTTTTGATTAGGGTGTTGTTTCTTCATTGACTGCTTATCTGGTGCTGTTTTAATCTGGGTATTGGCTGCTGGTTGGTAAGGTTTATCTATCTGTGTCTATTGATGGCTGATTCTGGCAGGAATTCTCAAGCAATTTTGAATTTGTGTACCTAAAATATAAACAGCTTCTCAAACTCTGGTTGAGTCCATCCATGAGTTGTGAGATTAAGGAGTTAACAGTTCATCTTCACCTGTCTGTTCTATGTAGTGACTGTCACCGTCTTTACATTGTGTGATGTAGATGACTCCTGTTTTTCTTACTTGGTTTCTCGGTTTACTAGAATTACATAAGGGCATTGTATATGTCAGAAGGCAGGAAAATGGGAGACATGTAAATGGCATCCATAACCTACATGAAAGTATAACTATTCTTTCTCCATGAATGCCTACATCTGCATGCCCTGCCCACCAGTGTAAGATATAGACCTTGAATAAACTGTGCAGCTGGGTAGATCATAGCTCAACAACAGACACTCATGAACACACACAATAGGTAGACAAACAGACACTCTTTTGTGCTTCTGAATAATGCTTTTAAATAACCTTTTTCTGGAGACATACTTTTGTGATTGCTTTTACTGTTGTTGTTTTTTTAAATAAGGTGGTTTAAGACATGCCTCTGCCAGTATAAAAGGCCTTGAAGTATATGGACAATTGAAGTTTGAAGGAGGAGTACATCGTGTTCAGCGCGTGCCAAAGACTGAGAAGCAAGGCCGCATTCATACCAGCACAATGACTGTAGCAATATTACCACAGCCGAGTGAGGTATGCGGTTACTATAAGTATTTGGCCCAATCATTCTGCATTCAGATAAGAGGATTCCATTCAATTACACTTTTTTCCCTACTTATTTAGACTAAATTAGCATTAATAAAGTCACCAAATCTTACAGCATAAATAATTTATAAAGTTTGTTGAGTTTGGGACAAACTCTAAATTGTTGTTAGAGAATGAGTGAAGTGTTTCTTTCCTGTTCCAGATAACTCTGACAATTAATCCTAGAGACTTACGTATTGAGACTAAAAGAGCCAGTGGAGCTGGTGGCCAGCATGTGAATACTACTGATAGTGCTGTGCGGATTGTCCATATTCCCTCAGGTATTAGATCAGGACTTTCAAATGAGTTCCTTGTTGTTGTTGTTTTGAAATATGCTCCCATGTTTTATATGATGATGCTCAGTAACAAGATACCCGCTTCATAGNCTTAGCCATCAATGTTGTCTACCATTTGGAGTGATGAAGTTATTGGATATAGGACATTTCATTACTGTAGCATAAGATCAGGAAGCTAACCAACCAAGATAAGCTCTGGTGAATACTTGTTCTGAAGATGTGGAAGGACATGGCCCAGAGTCTGTTTCAGTGTTCCAGTTAAGTTTGGGGAATACTAGAGAGAGAGAGAAATCTTTGAAAAATATTCTTGCTTTGGAAAGGATGAGATAATATATAACAGTAGAGAGTGCTAATTTGAACACACACTAGATATATGCTATGTAAAGTGAGATTGTACATTGCTAACAGTGCAGTCCAGTACATCTTTATGCAGGAATGTGTGTGTATATTCTCTCTCGTTTATAAGGCAGACAGACTTTTATTTGCAACCTTCCATCAACAACCTCTTTCCAACTTTCTCTTGTACCTATAATACTGTATTCATTTTCTTAGAACTAACAACGTATCATAGATTATATCTTCCACTGCATTCAAACTTCTTACAAAAAAGCCATAGAAAAGTTCCTTGGCTTCTGGTAGAATATATAGCACATATATAAAAATATATAATAAAATTTGTCATCCTAGTCAATGCCTGTTCTGATTTTGCTACAGCTTCAGTAAGCTATTTGTTTCCAAATCCTGGCATCCTATTTTTAATTTTTTAGACCTAAAATAGTATAATAATTCAGTTGTATCGTTTGACTAAAAATTGCAAAGTCGTCTTCTTTACTTGTTATAACTCAACATACAAAATACATTTTTGTTCTTGACATACTTCACATTTTGGGGAGGCCTAACTTCTACATTTCCTTTGTTGTAGGTGTAGTATCTGAATGTCAGCAAGAAAGGTCTCAAATTAAAAATAAAGAAAAAGCTATGGAGCTTCTTCATGCTAAATTATATAGCATCAGACTTGAAGAACAAACAGCAAAGATACATACTGCCAGAAAGATTCAGGTAAAATACACTGCATTGTTTTTCAGATCTAAGGATGGTTCTGCTGTAATAACTATAGTTGAATTTGCAGCTGAGGGGTGGGAGATGGAGTTAAAAGACTGGCTAGCTTGGAGTCCTTGCAGAAGAGGAAGCAATGGAATCTTAACTCCTCCCCCCCAAAAAAAAATTACCACCCCCCCCCGAAGTGCTTATCTGGTTGTTCTCAAGAGAGTGCAGTTAGTCTAGTGAGATTCTTGTAAACAGGCGAGTAGCAATAAAGAAACATCTCGGATCAGCTCATGGTGTCATTCTGCTTCCTTGCACCTGACAATACCTTGCACCTGGCAAATCAGCAGTGCACTGATGCACGCTGTTTCACTCAAGCCTCAGTTACAAAGAAAAAACCAGAACTGGCCAGAGAAACTGTTTTGGTAACATCATAAAGAAATAATTGATAATACTATCCCATAATTTATTTGCTGTACCTGGTCATAGAGAACGTCAGTGAGCACGATCAGAAAAGCAGACATCCGCAGACTGCTTTGTTTGTGGTGTTGGCTATATTTTGTGGTGTTGGCTAAATCAGCTCATATTGAAAAGACATGGATTGTAATTTAGATAGATGTGGTTGAAACACAAGTGATGCACAGTGAACTCTGAAATGGTAATTAGCATTGGTGGAAGGGAGGGAGGAAAGGAAGGAAAGAGAAAGAAGAAGGAAGGAAGGAAGGAAGGAAGGAAGGAAGGAAGGAAGGAAGGAAGGAAGGAAGGAAGGAAGGAAGGAGTACTTGTGCAGAACAGCGTTCTCCCAAATTGGTGCCCTCCATATATTGGTCTTTCAAAATGTCTAGCCTACTAGCTGGCTAATCATGAAAATTGTAGCTCAAGACATTTTGAGGGAATTTGGGATAGGTTAATTATTTAAACTGTTTAATCTCTATTTCTTTACTTCTCTTCTCCTATCTACTTTATTCGAAATTTCTCCCTGACTGAGAAAAAGCATATTTAAAGGGAGATATGTAAAAGAGGTATTATGCATACCTCTTACAATAATTGCCTTTTATGAGGAAATGTAACAAAAGTTCACTAACTCTCCTCCAAATTTCCTGCCCTTTTCTTGAGCAATTTAGACTGGAAGCTCTTCAGAACAGTGTATTTATCTTCTGTGTGCTTTTTGTTTATATTGATGCTTTACTCTTTTCATGGATACACACATACACTCACTCTCTCACACACACACTCACATTTTGTTGGATTGGGAACATTTCCTAAATACTAAACTATTAGGATGTATAAAAAACTTACTGATTATTTTTTTTCCCCTGTTTAGATTGGGACTAAAGGAAGATCAGAGAAAATCAGAACTTACAATTTTCCCCAGGATCGGGTTACTGACCATAGAATAGGCAAGACAGTACATCACATCGAAAGATTCATGCTGGGGGAAGAACTGTTAGATGAAATGATACAGTCATTAAGAAAATACAGTGAATATGAAGTGTTAATGGAAGTTATTTCAGAAAACGATGCAAGCAGACCAAAATGATCTTCATCACATCCTAGACCATAGGTATGAAAGTGCTTTCCAAATTAATTCACTGCATATCTGTTTGCTTGCACAGAATTGATTTACAGTCCCATACAATACTGCATGTCAATTTATTTTGGTACTGCTCAAGACCCAAACAACATATATTGATTACCTCTAATAAGGTTGAATGCACCTTACCCCATGCCCTGGGATAATAGCCAGGTATTTAAAGCCTTCCTAAATGCCATCATGATACGAGCTGTCCATAGCTTAAGGGGACTTCATTCCACAGGACAGGTGCCACAACATGCTTCCCGGGTCCTGAAAAATAACACTGATCAAAGGGACCTGGAGCATGCCCACTTGTTGGCTCTTACTGGACAGAAACCACAGGAAACAGGCAGCCCCTCAAATAACCAGGCCCATGCCATATAGGGCTTTATAGGTGATAAGTAGCACTTTGAATTGCATCCAGAAGCATACTGGCAGCTGGTGCAACAAAAGGAAGTGGGCATGGCAAGGGTAAAAGCATGCTGAAACTAAATGGCTAAGCTGGCATGTTTTCTAATTTGTTTTTGAAGGATTTTTATGTGTATATTAAATTTATATGCTGCCCAACTTCCGGTGACTCTGAGTGGCATGAAAGCATACTGCTGTTGTAAAAAAGCATTAATGCTTCAGGTAGAAACTGTTAAATACATTTATTTAATTTATACAATCTCAATGAGTAACTGTCGACTATAATTCCGTTGAACAGAATTAAAATAGAATAAAAACAATAGTGAACATTATAAAAATTAAAAATGCAGGCAGCCAGTGACCCAAATCACTAATACAACCAAGAAGCCATATTCTAAAAACTGAGTTATTATACCTTCCATACTTGAATAGACAATGGTGAGAAATTGGAAAACTGAAAATATGCTGGTTTTCAAGTGCTCACTCAGAGTTAACATAAGTGTTCATGTATTTAGTTTTATTTTTAGCCAACCCATTCTAAATGGCTCTGAGCAAATAACAGTCAGAAACACCAGCAAGCTCCAAATCTATCTTTCAAAAATAGTAAACTAAATATAGTTATCAAAATTGTACAAAAAATGAACACAAACCTTGTCTGCCAAATTAACATTTTCAAACACAGCATACCCACTTGTGCTTGGTGGAAAAAACCAGGTCTTTAAAATAACCAGGTCTTGACATAATTGTGTCATTTGCAATGTTGCATCAGTACATAAATGACGGATATAAAGTGATGGATATAAATGAATTATGCAGACTAGTTTGGGTACATCAGACATAGTTCAAACTTTACTTTTGTCCACTTTCAAATTTAGTCTATGACATCCGAAGTCCTTTAAATAGGGACTGATAAGTCAACATTTCTCAATATAAGAAAATGTAATTTCTATGTAAAAGCTAAAATGAATATTTTTCTTTATTCTATTGTATTTTTAGTTTTGCAAGGTGTTTGGGATTTTCCAAATAAAATTAGCATTTCTTGATGTTCTAAAGCTGCACTCAGTCAGCCTGATTGAAATTATTTCCTTTAATTAAGGATTTAATCTTTGCTAACAATTATAGGTGGGGTTCCTTATCTTACATAGAATAGATTTTGTCAGCATCGTATCAAAGATGGGAGAATCTAGGACATTGATCTAGCGGCTTTCTTTTCTTTTACCTTTTAAAAATCTGTTCCTGAATAACAGCAACATTTTTCCAAATTCTTGAGGAAAAAAAGAATTCCCGAATTCCTTTTCCATTTTAGAGGAAAGCTTTCTAAAATGCTCTCTGAGTTTATTTGTTTGTTTGTTTGCAGAGGTTTCCTTACCCCAAACTAGGTAACATCATCAGAGGAGTTTGCTGTTTTCCTTTTCCATTTAGGTAATCATATAAACTTGTAAAAGGCATGTCAAAGCAATTATCTGTGTTAAGAAGATGCGTCTCTGTGTAAATAATGAGGAATTTATTTATATTTTATAACAACTTTGATTTGAAATAAATTTTATTGAGAGTTGTCTTTAAGAATCAGATTTTTCTAAATATTAATACATAGAAAAATTTCCTTGACTATGCAACCTTCATTCAAAGACAAATTCAGGTTCTCACCCATGCTTCTATATATTGTCTTATTTTGTCTCCTGTTTTTTTTACAAAAAATAAACATGGCAATGTAGTTGTAAAAGATGAAAACACTCCTTTTCCCAGCAATTCTCTCCCATTCGATATTTATCTGTAGAACTAAACCACCAAAACTAAAGGGAATTGTATCCCTTTACATATGCATTAGTTTTCAGTTTAAAAATTGAAGTAACACGAATATGAAAAGTAGCCGCATCCCAGGACTGAAAAGGTCCCCAAATTTCTTACGTAAGACATATAATAGGGAATATATGGTTTTATTCTAAACAGTCTAAAAGCATGTAACAGAAAGACAGGTAAATGATACAAAAGTAAAAGTTCAGATTTTAATTCTTAATATTTGGTAATGAGAATGGGCTGTCCAAGAAAGAAATCTGATTATTATATACACATAGATTTTAAACACAATACAGAGTTTGATACAATACAAAGACTTAAATAGATGTCCCGGTTCCGGAACTTATCCTGGAAGGATAAGTTAGTGCAGAATACCATACTTCAGTGTTTCTCAACCTTGACAACTAAGTAAAACTACCAGAATTTCCCATCCAGTATTCTGCCACAATTGATGGTTTCAGAAGTTGCTTAAAGAATTCCAAATGTTATCCCTCTTCCAGATTCAATAACTGAAGCCATTTGGATAAATATCTCTGAAGGGCACCTATCCTTGATCATGCTCCTTGCATGCTACTTTTAATAGTAGTGTTATCTTTATAGATAAAAGAATGGAATAGATGTATTATTTAGGTTTTTAAAAACATAAAAGAATAATTTCTTGTACGAGATAGTTATGTACACCTTCTGGAGAAGATTCACTTTGATGGTATGAAAATAAGTTTGATTATAAGCCCCTTTTCCTTCCACCTAAACCTCTTGATTTTATATTTGTTTTATTGGGAAAGTGTAAATGCTGTGTTGTCATCTGAAATATATGGCTTTAATTCATCTGATTCTAGTGTTTAATGATAATATGCCAGGTCATCTCTAAAGAGATTTTAGTGAAAAACTGAAGTTTATAGTAAACTTTACTAAATGTGATAGGATTTTTTCCCCCCTAAATAACAGATGTAGTCTATACAGACTTTTTAAATAAACAGCCTTGGATTTTAAAATATATATATAAACAAAGGGAACAAAATACAGCAGTACTAGCCGAAATCCTATTCTGAAGCTTTTTACATGTGGAAGGGCAAGCTAATCTTTCCATTTCTGACAAATATCTTTACTTTGACGGATGTAAATAATTGGGGGAAATAAGTGCATCATTCCAAAGTCACATAGAGCCTACATAATTTAATGAGAAAAGTATGGTTCCCCAAATAACAGGCAAGGCTCAAGCAGTAAGGTAAGGCAAGGTCATTCCGGGGGAAATTGGGGAGGGGGGGGAAGATCGAGGAACTTTTAATCGGTCCCATGCAGCATAACTAATAATAAGAGATCAATGCAGTGTTTATGGATGGCCATACCTTGCCTACTTATGCACTGAAATAAAAAGCATCATTAATTTTCTTGGATGTTTAGCGTAAGAGATATAGGACGGGGTCCTCGAATATTATTTCATTTCATTTTTCATTTTCATTTTATTAAATTTATACCCCGCCCTTCTCCCGGAGGACTCAGGGCGGCTTACAGCCAGTTTATAGGGAATAATTTCCAAATCAGGCGCTATTCGGAATAGGCAACAGCTCCATCTTATCCAATAAAAAAGCGCCAACTTCCATCCAAGTTGAGTTACTTTAGAAAACGTGCTACAAGCATCGCGGCGGCCCGAATAAACGAGTTTCCCTCACGACCGTAAACCCTGCAGTAAAAGGAGCGGAACGGAAGCGAGATGGAATCGGCGCCCTAATCCGGCTACTGGGTCTCTCTCCTCTTCGCGCCCTGTTAGCTACACATCCTGTCCCCGCGCTCGTGGCCTCAGCGGGCAGGAACCCGGGGGATGGGCACGAGACGTCCAAAGGGCCACGTCCAATAGAACGTCCCGAACAAGAGAGAGCGCGAGCGTTGCCGCGCTCCTGGACAGGCCCCACAGCATCTCCCGCGCTCTGGCACGACTAACCCGTCCATCCCCCCGCCCGCCCGCCCGCAAGAGACGGCAGGAGCGCGCGCTAGCCGGCCTCTTTTTCTCCACCCTTCCCTGCGCGCGCGCGCGCTCTCACTCTTTAAATCCCTTGGCTGGGGCTGAGGGCTGGCGGGCAGAATGGGAGGGGGGAGGGAAGAGTCCCTTCAACGGCAAGGCACACCTCGCGAGCAGGCATTGGCCGCCGCCACTCGCTTCTTATCGATTGGCTGCCGGCTTGGTAGAGCTCCTCCTCATTGGCTCTTGGTTTTGGATACCAGATTTAAACCTTTTAAAAGTGCCCGGAAAAGGGATTCCACCCAGAGCAGAGGGAGGCTGGTCAGTAACACCCAGAGACTGACTTTGAAAAAGAAAGCGCGAAAGGAGGCAGCGCTTACCAGCTAGAAAACCAGCCACTTCAGGTACCGGGGCTTGGTGGAGACTGTTTTGCGGGAGAACCGTGGTCCTCTTCATGATGCGGCCCTAAGCTGATTGCTGATAAACCGAGGCTCCGATCCCCAGGACATTCGAATGAATGGGCTGAGGCATAAGGGGTATTCAATTCTGGGGGAGGGGGGAGGAAAGGCGCGAATGCGGGACTGCAACGGTGCAAAGCCCCCCTCCCCCCAAGGATTGAGAAACTGACGTCGGCAGAAAATCCCGCCAGCGGAAAAAAGCCCATCGGTTTCTTCCCGCGTCGTGGCCGGGATGCCTGTAGGAAAACCTGCATCGCTCCCCAGCATGTCCTTAGTCTACTGTACGGGTAGAAGATTCTGGGGGCGATCATTTCTCCCACACAATCTTCAATTGGCTACTTTTCCAAAAATGCAGTCTTGGAAAACGTGTCCCTTTGTGAGGGGGGGGGGACGGTTCCCTCTTTCTCTCCCCAAATCTTGGAGGCCGCCTCGCGTAGTTAGCGCGCCCGGCGGACTCCATTTCTAAAGAGCGCGGGCGGGTTCAGAGCTCCCTCGCTTTTTGCTGGAGCGCGCCAGTAAGCCAGATTGGATGGCAAGGGCAGTTGCGTGGCTTCTGCGGCCACTGAGCTCCCGACCTTGATTTAGCACTAAAGAAATGAAAAAATGTGCATTTAAATAAAAAAAACCTGAAAAAGAAATTAGCACAGGCAGAACTCCCGCGCTCCCGTTTGTCCTCTGCCTTTTAAAGGGATCCTTTCTGTCAAGCTGGCAGCTTTAAATTTTGGGAGAAAGAGATGAGCTGGAGTAATCCCACCAGGCCAAGTAAAAAGAGAAGGTTGGTGTGGCCTCTTTCAAGAGGCCACACCATATATATATAAATTTCTGCCTATTTGTGAGCCCCCCCCCTATATATATATGTCCTTCTTGGTTCCCTTACCAATAATCTCTTAATAATAAAATAATATCTTTGAAACTACCTTTATGTTTCCCCAGTTTTCTTTTAACTCCTTGAACTTATAAAAACCTGGGTATTCTTCTCATCCACATTGATTAATAAGGCATGATACCTTTTTCACCCAAAGCACATGTCTTTAAACAGCTCTTGCCATGCAGCAGTTGTGCAATTCAGGCTTCATCTGGACCTGTTTCTTGTTGTAAGAACTGCACATTGGCGTTTTCAAAAATGGTTCTCAAACTGACAGACTTCATTGTCTCAAATATATGAAGACAGTATAATTAGGTTAGAACTGCATTACACTATTCACAAATAATACCTGCAATTGATCCTTTTTCAAATTCACTATTCTGGATAGTGCTTGAGTGGTAATAATATCCTAAATGTGTAGAACCTATTAAATACTTCTGGAATGGCGTCCATTAGCAGATTGGGGTAAGGTCATTTTTTCCTCCCTCCACTCATCCTTTATGTAACCTCCAAATCTACACAACACTGGGAACAGAAGGGAGAAAAAATATGTGAATGGGAGTTATTCATGCCTAGTTGGAGTCTGCCTAATCAAACTATATGGAAAAAGCTATCTACTACTTCTAAATTACATTGCTAGCTTCCTACTTACTTACGAGTATTTGGGGGTAAAAGAAAGTTTCTATTAACCTTTACTCAAACAGAATTTACTGCACAAGAACATCTGGAAAAGGTTAGACAAAGCTAGTGCCATGTGTTCTGATTAAAAAAGTAGATCAAAGACTATTAATTCAATCTTGCCCATACAGGAAAACCACTGTTACAGAGTTTGAAAAATAGCTGGCCAAATTCTGAGTCCTTAAGTAGATGTGATTTGCTAACACCTTGACAATGCAGGAAAACCACTGCTACAGAATGGCCAGAAAAACTCACAATCCTTAAGTAGATATGATTTATTAACTACTTAATAGGTTATTGTATACCAACAATGTGTGTCTTACAGTAGGTTCTTCTAATCCAGTTTGTGATAAACATGCCATATTTACTGCCATCTTTAATTCTGTTGAATCAGTCTGTATGGAAATCTTGCTGAGTTGCATATATGCAGAATAAAACAGTATTATTTTCTTTTGTCTGAAGTCAGATGCCCTGCCACTTGTATTTTGTAAATGTTTTAACCCTTTCTATAGAATACCACATTTCCACAGGGCTTTTAGAACTATGTACAATTGCCAACAAAATAATCAGGAATTATCAAAACAAAGGCAAGAATTTGTTGATTTTGGGTTTTTTTAATCTGTGCTTTCAACCATTCTCTAGTTTAATATAATGATTTGGACTAACATATATTTCTTAATTTCAGGGAACATTTGAAAAGCTGCCCTAACCACTGAAAATGAAACGTGATTTTAATTATAGCCATGTTTACTATGGATCTTCACTATTAAAACTAACTGGAACAGAAGCAACATCAGAAGAGCCTTGCCCTGAGAGTTACAATGAAAATTGCAAAGGCTGTACCAAAGAAAAGCTCTTCTATGGTGACCTGCATCATGGAAGTTCCAAGAGTTTCAATCTCAAAAGTGGAGAAAAGTTTACGCACAATAAAGAAAACCAACAAGTTTGGAGACATATTGAGAGTGCCAGTGGAATTGACAATGAAAACGAAGACAGTGGATACTCCTCTTTATTGGGTATTCAGCACAAACCCAATGATAATGATGACAGTGTGCTATTAGCAGGGAATATCAGCAATATACCAAATCATAGTTTCAGTCCAAGAAAGAATTTACTACCAGTCCTCCATTTTGAAGAACTTGTCTGCTCAACTTTGAAAAAAACTAGCAAACGGAATCCAAAGTCGTGGGCTCTTGTCTTAGATAAAATAGCTTCAAGGAAAATGGAATTTGTGAATCTGATTGGCAAAAAAATGGGATTAGATAAGCTAGATGTTCTTGGAGAATTATTTCATGGGAAATTCAGACATCTGTTAGCAAACATCTTAATACATCTTAATGATACAGACTTGATAAAGTAAGTTCACAATTTTGTGTTTTCACTTGGCAAAATAAATATAGGTTAAGTTATAGTGTACTAAATTTAAAGACTTTCTTAAAGCCCATGATATGTTTTCCTGGGCAAAATGCTACTTTTCATCATGTGAAAATATTTCACCGGGAGAATGAAGCTATATTCAAAAATGTGTTTCATAAATGGAACCAGATTTGCATATACCTTACAGCATCGGCTGTATGCTCATGTAAAAAATAATTATGTAAGCATTTTTTCTAGTTTAGAATTAGTGCTGAAAAAATACTGAAGAAAATGCTGACCTTTGCTAATATACTAGGATGTGCTTTAGATGTAACTCACAAAGTCATTGTTGGGACAAAAGAAAATTTATTCCTAAAGGTTAAGCAATGAAACATTTTCTACATTTTTAATGAAATGGAGACCATTTCAGAAAAGGATAGGCATTTTCCAGTGTCTACATTGCTCTAGTCTAGTTGATACTTTTTATACTTTTAGGGAGGCAAGTCCACTGAAAACAATAAACAGGACTTTAAAAAAAGTTTATATTTGTATTATATGTGTATTGAAAGTTTCTATGGTTTCTGTTAAGTAATAAGACTGCTCTCTGATTTTAACCATGGGTTTTCTTTCCACAACAGCGTGGCCAAAGTTAGCATTACGTGGAAGAAAATTCTTCTTAGTGACAAGTGGGCTTTCCAGATGTATAACAAAGCACTAAAACTCAGTTTGGTAAGTCTAGTGTTTTTCTATCTTTATCACAACCCCTGGATGTAGGGGTTTAAAATTTCAGTTTCTGTTTGTAAACAGTAAAGTGGTTCAAATAATATAAAGAACAGTATGTCACGTAACAGGTGGTCCCAAACTGAGTAGTTTGAGGTCGAGTGATTGGCTTTGGGTAAAAAGGTAAAAATAAACCACTTTAAATTCTGTAAAATAGGTTAATTTTATGACAAACAGAAAACAGACTTCTCCAGAGGGAATCAACGATTTGGACTAGGGGATAGTTGGGGAACTCATCAAATTTGCGGATGACACCAAGCTGGCAGGAATGGCCAACACTCCAGAAGACAGGCTTAAGATAAGGAGGACCTGGACAGACTTGAACACTGGGCACTATCTAACAAAATGAAATTCAATGGTGAAAAAAGTAAGGTTCTACATTTAGGCAAGAAAAACCAAATGTACAGGTATAGTATAGGGGGTACCTTACTCAATAGTAGTAACTGTGAGAGGGATCTCTGAGTCCTAGTGGACAATCATTTAAATATGAGCCAGCAATGTGCTGAGCTGCCAAAAAAGCCAACACAGTGCTGGCCTGCATTAACAGAGGGATAGAATCAAGATCACGTGAAGTGTTAATACCACTTTACAATGCCTTGGTAATGCCACACTTGGAATACTGCATCCAGTTTTGGTCACCACGATGTAAAAAAGATGCTGAGACTCTAGAAAGGGTACAGAGAAGAGCAACAAAGATGATTAGGGGACTGGAGGCAAAAACATATAAGGAACGGTTGCTGGAACTGGGTATGTCTAGTTTAACGAAGAAAAGGACGAGCGGGGACATGATAGCAGTGTTCCAATATCTCAGGGGTTGCCACAAAGAAGAGGGAGTCAAGCTATTTTCCAAAGCGCCTGAAGGCAGGACAAGAAGCAACGGATGAAAACTAATCAAGGAGAGAAGCAACCTAGAACTAAGGAGAAACTTCCTGACAGTTAGAACAATTAACCAGTGGAACAACCTGCCTCCAGAAGCGGTGAATGCTCCAACACTGGAAGCTTTTAAGAAGAGACTGGACAGCCATTTGTCCGAAATGGTGTAGGGTTTCCTGCCTGAGCAGGGGGTTGGACTCGATGACCTCCAAGGTCCCTTCCAACTTTATTATTATTATTATTATAAATTGGGGATTGTAAGGAAAAAAATACCATTTGTGAAAGGCTTATTTTTACTGTACGGTATATGAAGAGATGAAAATGTACAAGTATAGTAATGTATGTACAGTTATGTACAAGTATAGTAATGAATTATTGTATTTTCAGACAGAAGCAAATCATTGTTTAATGATTTATTGTTTAATCAAAATTTCTTTTCTCCACAGAATAGCAACACAGTAACTGCCAAACAGTCTGATACAAGGGAGTATGCTCTCCATCGTGAACCATTAACATATATTCAGAAAGTAGCACCTACACAAATTAACTTTTCTAAAAAAACATCCCGAATGAAAGCAAACACCCAGAGTAATCAGAGCTCTTCTTTCAGCCGCCATTCACAATTTTCTGAGGTAATCTACAAATGCTTTAATCTTGATTTAATATACTGAATGTAAAGTAAACCACTTATTAAGATTCTCAGATTGAGCTGCAGACTCTTTTGGAGCACAAGCAAACTCAAAGGCAGGAGAAAAATTTGCCTCTGGACAAGCTTGTAGCAAGGAGTTTATCACAAAGTTTGCGAACCTTTGATATCCACTGATTAACATGTAATTAAAAGTGATGAACTTAGTTTGAATGATTCAATCAAATCATTAGCAACATGGGCAAGAAGTTGCACCAATTCTTAATATTAATGTTTTTCATCGTTTGTAAATTGCCCAGAGTCAATGGGAGTCGAGCAGCATATACATTTAATAAATAATAATTTACATTTTACAATGGTAATTTATTGATACAATACTACATTTTTAGGGACTACCATAGCTACCAAATAAGACTAATAAAAAATCATTTCCCAATCAGTAGCAATAGCATTTAGACTTATATCCCCCCCTCCCCCCGTAGTGCTTTACAGCAGAGGTCCCCAACCTTTTGGGCACCAGGGACCGGTTACGTGGAGAGAGGTTTTTCCATGGACCAGACAGGGCGTGTTTTTTTGTGCTGCCTGCATCCTGCAGATGGGGCTTTGCTTGTTTGTGTGGACCGGTTGCTGGCATGCCGGGGGTTGGGGACCCCTGCTTTACAGCACTCTCTGGGCGGTTTACAATGTAGAAGCATTATTGCATACTGCCACCAACAATCTGGGTCCTCATTTTACCGACCTCGGAAGGATGGAAGGCTGAGTCAATCAAGCTCTGTCAGGGTTGAACTCAGAATGTGGGCAGAGTTTTGCCTGCAATACTGCATTTTTAATTACTACACCTCCAGGGCTCAATTGGGTATTTACCATTGCAATATTTACAGCCAAATTTCATATGCCTGACAACAGAAGCTTTCAGTTTGAAACCGATTATGCTCTGGTCAGTTTGAAGCAGCAGTGCCAGCTGGCTAGAGACTTCTAATCATTTAATTTAAGATCACAGAACTGAGTTTATTAGCTTGGAGTTAGGGCTTTTTAAGAAAGTGCTGTGCTACAGAGAAAAGCAATTCAGGAAGCTATAGCCCGTTTAGGCAATCTGTCTTGTGATGGGGGAAAAATAAATCGGGCACGAGGCATTGTACAAGAGAACCTCATCTGGATGAAATGGCAACAACCAGTGATCTTTACAGCATCTCTTTTTCTCAGTCACATGTTTGTTAGGAATCATTTTACCTATTGAGGAAGTCACAAACAGATTGATCACTAAACAAGGAAAGAATATATTGTGAGCCTATCTCTTAGAATGTTCCTAAACGTGTTCCATATGGTTATTCTAGGAAAGTGGTTTAAAAAAAAACCACCTTCAAAATACATGCTGGATTATGTTTTTGTTTTTGTTTTAGGTTGCAAAAACTTTGAAAAATACTGAAAGTCTGAAAGTTTGCCATCGCTGTGGTTCCCCTGCAAAATACGATTCCCATCTGCAAAGGGCAACGTGTGTCCGAGAAAGCTGTGGTTTTGACTTTTGCACAAAGTGCTTGTGCAGCTACCATACTGCCAAGGATTGCATCATTGGAAAACCTGTAAAAACGTCTTTCAGACTAGGACCTCTTCCTTGTAGCAAAAAAAGCAAACAGAATTTACGGAGACTATAATTTCCCTGATTCAAATTCTAGCTAGAGTATCATATTTTGCTTGTAGGTTCAAAAGAGGAGTGAATGTGAAAGTTGTGGTTGTCTAATTTAAAAAAATGCAGTGATTTTTTAAAAATCAATTTTAAAGTTTTTGTTCTTTCAGATGTCTTCCTCTCCCCTTTTTAGAAGGATGTTCAGCCAAATTTTTAAACTACTTCTAGGTTTACATGGGAATTGTACATGGCAACCTTGACTTAACAAGTACAATAACTGGATTTTTATTAAGTTGGGGGCAGTAAAGGTAGCATTTGTTTTTAAAAATTGCTTGTTTTATGGCCTCTAACTTCATGCCTTATAAAAAGCCTTCCAGGGGTTTTACAATATAATCTATAATAAGCAAATCATATTTAATGTATTTGCAATGCCAAATTTTTATTAAAACTGAATTTCATCTGAACAAAACATTAAACATGTAAATAGGATTAGTTTTTATAACCACATGTGTCTTGATAGCTGCTGAAACATAGTGTTGTCCTGACCCATTTCATCTTCATTACTGGGTAAAGATGCCTAGAAATGTATATATTTGTAAATACTTAAATATTTGTCTGTCTACATGAAAAATAAAAATTATCTTTATAAATAAAACCATCTCTGCTATTTGAATGTTACAGGTTTTAAAGATTAATGATACTTCCATGTTGTCCCACTAATCAATACAATGCTCACTAGGTTGCCCATTGACATATCTACATTGTACATGACTTCATGCATTTGCTTAGCATGAAGTGCTTAGCATGAGCACAAACTTGCTCATGAGGGTGTACATAGGTCTTTTCTAATGAATAGGAAGAAATAAATGGAATCTCCCTGATAGGTCCTTTGCAGAGAATTATGTTCATAAAAAGATAGAGATGTTAAAGCTATAATTCTCTAGAGGTTGAGGGATAAAGTTGTCAACTTATTTTACCATTGACAATCATCTGAGCCTGTTATGAGTTGCCTTAGCTTTTCACTCTTGTTAGAGAACAGATCTTTTCCCCCATCCTATTTAGGGCAGGACAATGCATTATTCTTCTCTGCCCTGAGATCTGGCATATTCCATTTTGGCTGGCCTTTACTTCACAGAACAACACAAAAACGCTTCACAGCAATAGAAAGCAACCAGAACTCAAGGCATCGTCCCTCTTATTTTTTATCCCAAAGCTTTAAAAACATGGGTGGTAGTTCATACTGACAAACTGCTACTTTACCAGATTAAAAACTTGCCAAGGGGAGGAGTTCTTTAAAGTCTCATTGTCAACTGTCCGACTAACGAACTCAAATCGAGGAATCTTCAAGGCTTTGAAGTGCCATAAAAGATGGCACTTTACTGAATACAATCTAGGAACTGAAGAAGCAAATCCAGTTCTGGTTTTTTCCCGTGTGGAAATATGCTTAATTAAACAAAGGCTGTCCCCATCCCCCCTGGTGCTCCCACTGTTCAATCATAGAACTCAGGCTTGTTATGGGAATGGTCCACTTCTCCGTCAAGTACCTGCGTTGGTGACCTTGACATTCCTGCAGGCCCTCATGGTCCGTAGATGGCTTCTTGGAATGCCACTTCCTGTGCTTTCTACCCCTCCCCCCCTTTTTTATGGCAAGTTGATTAGCAATAAATGTTAGCAGGTCTTATAGCGATTCAATCTTGACACAGCCTAACCTCACAGGATTGTTGTGGATAAAATAGGAAGAGGAAGGATTATTAGATAATGTTTGCCACCTTGAGTTATTTATAGCAGCAGCCCCCAACCTTTTGGGCACCAGGGACAGGTTCTGTGGAGAGAGCTTTTTCTATGGACCTGAGGGAGTGTGGTTTCATGTGCTGCCTCATCCCATGGATGGGGCTTCGCTTGTTTGCGCGGCCCGGTTTCTGGCATGCCGCAGACCGCTGCCATCCACAGACTGGGGGTTGGGGACCCCTGATATATAGAACAAATAAAAGTAGGATAAAAAATTGCCTTTCCAAACAATGAAAGCAACCAAAAAAAAATGTGTCCTGAAGCTCAGCCAAGCACTTGGGTCACATTTAAAAGACAACACTTTATTTGTTGAACTTCATCTGCTTTGTGTAAAGCAACACCTTGGGTTTGGTTCTAGAACAGTGGTTCTCAACCTTTTTAATGCCGCGACCCCCAACCGGTCGTAGGTCGAGGACTAAACCGGTCGTAAGTCGAGGACTAAACCGGTCGTAAGTTGAGGACTACCCAACCGGTCATAAGTCGAGGACTTTCCCTGCCCGGGAGCGCCGCGCATGCGTGGTTTTGCCCCCTGCGCCAGCCGAGGCGTAGCTGGCAAGCGGCAGAGACAGAGCAGGCCGACCACCAGCTGGCCCAGCTCAAGGGAGGTAAGGCACCCGCCGGAAAAGGGGGAAAAAATGGCGGACAGCCTTGCTTGGCGACCCCTGTGAAATGGTCGATCGACCCCAAATGGGGTCGCGACCCATAGGTTGAGAACCGCTGTTCTAGAAGGATAGAAGTTCCATTAGTCACTATAGGAGTAGCTTCATGTTAGTATATAGACAATACCTGAATTCATTCTCCCAATAACCTAGCACATAACTTTGAGGCAGAAGAGAAATATATTATTAACTGTAAGTTGATGAGCACGATGTCTGAAAAGAAGGCTGTTTTGAAACAATTTTCAAGTTCCATCATAAAAGAATGATATGACACAGGTGAGGAGAAAGAAAAATGGGACTTAAAGCTTCAGGATGCACACATAAAGAAAATGACATCCCTTCAGTTGTATCTGATTCTTTCAGAGACTGCCTAGACCAGGGGTAGGCAACCTTGGCCCTTTTATGACTCGTGGACTTCAACTCCCAGAGTTCCTGAGCCAGCATGGCTCAGGAATTCTGGGAGTTGAAGTCCACGAGTCATAAAAGAGCCAAGGTTGCCTACCCTGGCCTAGACAAGTCCCTGCAGTTTTCTTCACAAGATTTTTCAGAAGTGCCATTGTCTCCTTCCTAGGGCTGAGAGAAAGTGATTGGTCCAAGGTCACCCAACTGGTTATGCCCAAGGTGGGGCTAAAACTCTGGGTCTCCCAGTTCCTAGCCTGGTGCCTTAACAACTACACTAAAGTGACTCTCTAATGAGATCCTTAAGCTTGTGTAAACCTTCTTTGATCTTTGTTATTATTGCAGCTAATTGTATCTGCAATAAATTTTATTATACTGGTGCCTTGTCCTTGGCTTCCTGTGAAAGTTTCAGAGAAGGGGTTAGAATACTTAGAGACTTTTTGCAGTGATCTGGATGGAAGCCTAATAGATTTTAAACTAAAATTTAGATAATTAAGCAAACAAACTGGAATTCTGAGGGGTTGCTTTAAGTAGGTACCCAAATATTCACCAGGGAAGCAGCAGTAACATTGCAACATGTGACGCAAAAGGACATGCCAATCTCAGCGCTTGGGATGGTTCTAACACTTGAAACAACACTGAAATGTTTGGTGTTTGTTCTGAATAGAGAATAAAACCAATATCTTTTGGGGTGTGCACTAAATGGAAGTCTGACTAAACTATGTATGTTGTTTTCAGTTGGAAACACTCAGGATGATGATAATAATAATAATAATAATAATAATAATAATAATAATAACAACAACAACAACAACAACAAAACAACAACAACAACAACAACAACAATAACAATAATAATAATAATAATAATAATAATAATAATAATAATAATAATAATAATAATAATAATAATAATAAAGTTGGAAGGGACCTTAGAGGTCATCGAGTCCAACCCCCTGCTCAGGCAGGAACCTACACCATTTCAGACAAATGGCTGTCCAGTCTCTTCTTAAAAACTTCCAGTGTTGGAGCATTCACCGCTTCTGGAGGCAGGTTGTTCCACTGGTTAATTGTTCTAACTGTCAGGAAGTTTCTCCTTAGTTCTAAGTTGCTTCTCTCCTTGATCAGTTTTCATCCGTTGCTTCTTGATTTGGAGTATCTGTAAGGACCCACCTCAGCTAACCACCCAAGAAAGCAGAACTCTTGAAACAGGCATTGTCTCAAAAGAAAACTTTTATTAGGGGTTAGTGACAGTAGGGAAGTCAAGGCAAGATCTGGGGGAAACCCCACTAAAATGGTATACTTAAACCAGCAAGATTCCTTCTCCCCCCCCCCCCAGAGTCATAGTGTCCATTTGAAATCCAGCCAATCCATAGGTGGTACGATGTATGGATAACTGGCACAGTTGGCAAGCATCTCAAGGTCTTCTCCAGTTTCGTTTCTCTGCAACCGTCTCCCTGATAAGGGAGACAAATTCCTTTCTCAAGTGGAAAGAGGCGGGAGAGGAAAGGTAGAAAGCAAAAGTTATCCCAAGCAAAAGCAAAGTCCCCCCTCCCCCCAGCAGAATGGCAGGCCCCCAAACAAGAGCATATATGCAGGGAAAACAATAAGGATTTGGGGATGTGACAGTATCCCTCTTGGCCTTCATTCCAAAAACCAATACAGGAAGTCCTCAACTTACAACCATTTATTTATCGACCGTTGAAATTTGCAACAGCTCTGAAAATGATCGGTTTTCACACCTACAACCTTGTGGCATCCCCTACAGTTACATAATCAAAATTCAGGCACTTGGCAGCTAGCATTTATTTACCAAGGCTGGACTGTCCCAGGGTCACGTGATCACCGTTTGTAACCTTCCTAGCTGGCTTCCGACAAGCAAAGTCAATAGGAAAAGATAGATTCACTTAATGACCACGTGATTCATTTAACAATTGTGGCAAAAAGGTCATAAAATGGAGCAAAACTCACTCAGCAACTGCCTTGCTTAGCAGTGGAAATGTTGGGCTCATTTGTGGTCGTAGGTCGAGGACTATCTGTAGTCATTATAGCAAGCCAGCATATTCCCAATATCTCCACATTTTCAAGATACTTATTTATAACTAGATGTGTTGTAACCTTTTCAACTTGTTTATTTTTAACTAGATTTATTGCAATTTTTTTCCAATTGTTATCTGGGCCATTTCATTGTGTTTTTTGAACTGGAAGAATTGTTTAATCTTAAGCCAGGGGTGTCAAACTGCCGGCCTGCAGGCCAGATGCATCATAGTGAAACCGCGCCCACCCCATTGCCGGCAATGGCAAAAAAAGTTGTGATATGTTGCGACACGTCACGTGACATTGCAAGTTTGACAGCCCTGCCTTAAGCAATGTTAAATTCTTAGTTTCCCCATAGTCTGAAAAGAAAAGAACCACAGGATGGTGCTATTGCATATTTTATGACCAAAGAAAAGCAAACATGACTTGAGGGAAGCAGTTTCTATAATCTCAGGTGAATATTGGGAAATCAGAAAAGGCCTTATTTATTGTTTTCTTTATGGTGCTATTTTGTGCTAGTGTAGAGCCATCACCACCCCAAAGAAGTTATAGAAAACCAGAAAAGAAAGGAAGTGTTGTAACGAAGGGCGGGGGGGGGAAGAGGTATACATACAGTATTTTTAAGATTCTGAAGCTTAATAATAATAATAATAATAATAATAATAATAATAATAATAATAATAATAATAATAAAGTTGGAAGGGACC